TGAATTCGACTTGTCTTTCTAAGGGAAGTATGGTCAATTCTTCTGGAAATACTATGGGGTATTCTCGGACATTGGAACGTCTTGAATATGCTTTTATTTCAGATTCTTCTCTACTGCATGAGCCAAGAATGCAAGGTACTTCTTCCTCATATATTTGAGAATATTCATCCACGAGACTATCTTCAAGTTCTTGCCTGGTTTTTCTCCGTACACTACAAGGGTTTCATTGTTTTGGAGGGGTATTTTGACAACCTTCTCAAAGCATCCTATGTTTGTTCGATTTTTGGACAGCCAGTCCATTCCAACCAATACATGAAAGCTTCCCTATTTAATAGGGATAAGGTCAATACTAAAAATTTTATTAGCTAAGTTCAAGGTACAATTCGGAACTATCTCCCTAGCCTTAATTTTATAACCGTAAGCAACTTTAACTATGTAGGCATGTTCTAATATTTTTGATTTCAAGTCGTTTAGGGGTCTCAATTCATGTGACACAAAACTTCTATTTTCCCCAGAGTCAAATAATACTGATGCATAGTGGTTGTTTAGGAGATATGTACCTGTCACCACCTCTGGGTCCTGGCGGGCCTCTTCCACCTTAATCACAAATGCTCGCCCATGAGCCTGGCCTCCCGGATTTCCACAGTTTATTTGTCTCGCCTGGTTCCTGGTATTGTTGTTTGGTGCCTTTATTTAGATTCGGGAAAGCATTCCTAAAGTGGTCCACGCTCCCACATTCATAGCATGCCTTTTTACCATCCTTGCGATCTTTAACTTTCTACATTATTTTGCCAAATGTCCTGCTCGATTGCACTTATGGCAGACAGGGCAATCACCCTCATGATGATAGCTACATCTCTCACACTTAGGTTTAGGCACTCGGTATTACATAGGTTCCTCTGTTTTAACCCCAATGTTCCTTTCCCTTTTCTTCTTCTTTTCTAAGTTGTCATTCTTGTTCCTTCCCAACTAGTTTTTCCTATTTTCTTTTGTTACTTGTGTGCTCATGGTTAATATCGCGACCCTCACTTTATCATTCGTAAGGCGGTGCACCAGGTCTATAGCGTTATGGATTGTGGCAGGATTTGCCAAAGTAACCATGCCCTGGATTTATGGTGCTAAACCCCATATGTATCAGTCAATCCTCTTTTCCTCAGGGGTGACCATCTGCGACACTAGTTCAACGAATTCGTGGAAACGCATAGTGTAGCCTTCCACATCGACTCCTACCATGTCATGGTTCCAGAAGTCAGATTCCATTTTCCGGATCTCATCCTTACGACAATATTCCTTCTTGAGTAACTCTTTGAATTCCTACCAAGAAAATTGGTTCGCTTCCTCCCTTCCACGGTTTCAGACTTGTGCAGTCCACCATGTTAAGGCTCTATCTTGGAGAAGGGCAAGCAATATAGGGAACCTTGCATTCATTTGAGCATTTGCTGATGTGGAGTACAACCTCTATTTCTTCTATCCATTTTAGCAATCCCACCGCACCCTCTGTTCCATGAAACTCCTTGGGTTTGCAACACATGAAGTACTAAGTTTCATTGATAAAATGAGTATACAAGTTTCATCACTAAAATGAGTATACAAGTTTCGTTGCTACAAATGAGTATATAAGTTTCATTGATAAAATGAGTATACAAGTTTCATCACTAAAATGAGTATATGAGTTTTGTTGCTACAAATGAGTATATAAGTTTCATTGATAAAATGAGTATAAAAGTTTCATCACTAAAATGAGTATACAAGTTTCGTTGCTCAAATGAGTATATAAGTTTCGTTGCTAAAATGTGATGTAAGATTCGTATGTGCATCAAGTTTCCATTCAGGAGTTCACAACCCAAGCCTAATGACGAATAATGTCCTATTGACTACTATGTGTATCGCAAACATAGAGAATAAAAGGGTAAAATGCACTCAAACGAATCGTGCGAGTAATAACACACATACATGAAAAATATAGCAACCAAGTTTGATACAGGCCTCATGAATTAAAGTAACATGCACATACATGCAAAATATAGCAACCAAGTTTGATGCGAGTCATATAAATACAACAAACATAAACACTTTAGGACATGCTTTCCACCTTAAAACATTTAAAAACCAAAAATAGGGGGATGCGTGAATACTCACAATGTTTCAAGTTGCTACAAGTGGTGCATCGGAATACACCAACGCCTTACTACCAGGATCCTACCATATCAAACACATGCTAGTGAGTTTCTATGTCGAAATCTAATACTAATATACTAAGTTCTACATATAGAGAAATGCCAATTTTGTTCTAATATTGGTTTTATATCAACTGGTAACAATTTTTCTGAAATGGTGAAATTTTAATAACTCATGTGATTAAGAAAATTTTGGATATTAATTTTCCAGATTTTGTTTTTGTAATATTAATTGAGGGTATTTCAACACATTTAAAGGTGTTTTAAACTCCTAAAAATCCAAAATATTATCAAACAGTTTCCAAAAACTCTCAAACTTTGCATTTTCATTCTAAATACAGTAGAGGTCTTCCATAAATTTTCCCTTAATTTTCGATGTGATTAACTATTTTTCCAAATTTTTAATCCTTCATAACAATATAAATTTGTGAAAAATAGCATCCAGATGATAGAAATTCCTGAACTTTTTATAATACTGCCATTCAAAATACTTAAGCTGGGAAAAATATAAAAATGGATTTCTAAAATGTTTAACAGGATTTTATGATTTTTGTGCATTTATTCCAATAAAAATGGAAATAAATATAAAACAGTTCCCAAAATTGCCAAACTTTTTGTAGCACTGCTATTATACATCTAGAAGCTGTGAAAAATATAAAACATATTTTTCAATTAGTTTGGATATTTTTCTCTATTTTATTTTCTTAAATAATCATTAATTGGAGACTAATTATTAAACAATTAAAGTAAATTACCAAAATTTTTGTAAACTTCATTTACAGTGTAAATAATCTGAGAAAAATACCAAAGGTTATTTGTATCTACTTGAATCTGATTTTGTGGATTTAAGTGTATTTAATCTTAGAAAATAGAAGAAAAATATTCCAAATTTTTAGTTAGATTTGTAATATACTATAAGGTCGTCTCGTAAAGTTTCATGAATTTTGGATGATTAGAAGTATTTTTACCGTTATTAGTCCATTATAAATACAAAAATCGGGGAAAAATAGGTATGCATTATGAAAAATTCCTAAAATATTTTTTTAAGTGTTCCAAATATGGTAGGATCTGTGAAAAATATTAGATAGCCTTGTCCCATTCCCTAAAGTTGTTTTATAATTTATTCGAACTAAACAAAAAGAAAATTTAAAACCAAAGTAAATAGTAACAAAAATCGATGAAACCTAATGAGAGGATATTATTTACTCTAGGGGTAATCCATGAATTTATCTAGGATTTATAGACCTCGAAAGGTATTTTATATGAATTATTGCCCTATTTCCTTGCAATAATTATAATAATTCGAGAAAAATGAATTATTTTCTGAAAATTTACAGATCATCTTATTTTATTGGTGGGATTCTATAGAAAATCGGATTTGATAAGAAAAGATTTTTTAGCTATTTATTTGAGAAAAAATCATTTATGAACATATTTGAAAGCTTTTAACAACAAACTTTGATCATCTACCATCTAAGCTTGAAGATCATCACATGCATGTTGGTTTGAAGACCATTCATGAGTTTGAAATGTTCAAAATTCGTTTTTGAAAGAAAACCTTGGATGCATGTGGTGTTTTTCCACCAAAACATGTAGAAAAGTGCATTTCCTTGATTTTGACTTAGGTTTAGGTCATGGGCCTTCACCATCTACAACATGCATGTTGTTTTTGGATGAATTCCTACCACCATCATCATCAAAAACGTAAGTAGGTGCAAGTGTTCATGATTTTGCAATAGATGGAGTAGAGAGAAGAAGAAAAGTGTAAGAAAAATAACAAAACTTGAAGGAAAAGTGAAGTACAAAGCGATTTTACCTTCAAGAACACCACAAGATGGTGAAGATTTTGAGTTTAAGGAGTGTTATTAAGTCGTATTCTCTGGAAATTTCGTGGTTTAGAGGGTGGGGGAAGATAGAGAATGAAGTTGGTGTTAGAGAGTGTGAGAGAGAGAGAGTGAGTGGGTGAAAAGAGTGAAGAAAGGAGAAATGATTTAAATTTTTGGGGAAATAGCGTATTAGGGTTTTCAAGTAAGAGAGAGAGGAGAGAGGTCCAAATTTAAAAGGTTTATTACCATCTTTTTCTCTTTTTATTCATAAAATTTAAATCTTTTATAAAAATATCAACTATTTATAAAAATATGCAACTTAACCAACTTTTTATGCATAAAACTCTTGATTTTTTATTTATAAATTAAGGGTAAATGTTAATGAGTTAACTTTTACTTTCCTTGAATGCATTTTCATAATTTTAATTATTATAAAATCATATTATAAGGTTCATAACTATTTTTATAGAATTTTTAGGGGTTTAAATTTTATAAATTTAGGTTTTTAGGGCATTTAGGGTTTTTGAGAGTTTATAAATCTTTGGATATTGAAATAAATAGAATCTTTGAGACTTCAAATTATTTTTGTGTTTCCTAAATCATGTTCAAGTTAGAAATAATGGTTTTAATTTTTTTATTGGTTATTGGCATTCTATATAGTGATTCCTAGATTCAAACGAAATTGAGGAATCAAGTATACTAGCCCTAGTTTTCAACTTTAACTTAAGTTCCTACGAGACTCAGACCTAATTTATACAATTAGGTCAAGTGCATGATGCGTGTATATGATTCATGAAAAGGTGTTCGATTCAAAGAGCGACCCGAATATGGACAGTCACTACAGTTAATGTTGTAGAATTCACATATCAATGTGAAATCTAAGTACACTATCCATTGTTTCTAATTGTTTCCAAGTTTCTATTAGGTTATAACTTACCTTCTAGTTACTAAGTCTAGTATGTGTCGTGCCTATACGTGCAACTAAGTTTAGTCAAATCTAGGACTGACTCAAATTTTGACGGTTGTCACAACACACCACATCCACCATCTCTGACATGTCAGCAATGTTGTGATGATGATAAGAAATCCTACTACAGGCGTCATGCAGGTCTCGGGCCATGGACTCCACGTTGTGTCTCTCCTGACAAGTCATCCCGGGTGAATGCATATAAGTCATCCCTATGACTGGGGGTCGAGGCTTACTGGGATCGGGACGCTCGTGCCTTAGTGCAGGAGCGGCTGGCATAGGTTTTGGACGCTCGAACCTCAACACTTCTCTCGACATTGGCGTGCTCTTTCTCGCTCTCCACCTTTGGCATAGTCCATAAAAAGTGGCGGTGGCGGAGGCGTCGTCTGTCATGAAGGCTCGACTATCGATGGGGCTGAAGTCTATTCAGTCAGGCCTGGCTTCTCACTCCTATCAGTCTCCGATCCCGTAGACGAGTCTTTAGTCGGTTTGGTGCTCAGTCACGGTGGACTTTGGCGTGCAGTGACATAAACTGACTATTCTGCCGATCCAAGTGCTTGAGATCTAGTGTTTGACATAGTTAGGCTATACATGAGAAACTCTAATGTTTAGACAAGTTTTTAGCATCATAGTTAATTTCTATTTTTTTCAATGTTTACGTTTAACCTAGGGTGTTCAAACCATTCACTATAACTAATTCTGGTCTTGCACTTGCTCTTCTTTAATAATACATAGGTGATTAGGCTATGTATAAATTTTTGAGTTTTAAGCATTCTAACACTCCTATGGTGTACATACAACCCTATAAACCTTGGATCTATGTTTTCTCTATTATACATGCAAATATTAACTATTCCAAGGTTTCATCCTAACTAGCATATTATGAAGCACCTATACTACAAAGTTCTAGTTAGATGACATACCTTTTAATGAAGCTTGAAGTCTTCAAGCTTTAAGAGCTTAGCCCCAATAGTGTAGAAGCCTCAAATGGAATCACAAATCACCAAAACACCTTGGAAGAACTTGAGAGAATATGTATGCACACTAAAATCGGCCCACTCTTATTTTCACACACTCGTGCCAATTTTGTGAGCCAAGGACCCATTTATATATTATGGAGGATTAGGGTTACATCCATGTAAACCCTAATACCCATGACCTTTCATTTACATAGGATCCATCGGTTAAAAGCTCCATGGACCATCCATGAAAGCTTAGCCCAACCTAAATGAACTTGGCCCATTCCATATATTTAAGAGTCCATATTTAATTAGTTCTTTTTTATCACTTAATTAATTCTAAATTAATTCTTGATCAATATTAATTAAATAATATGATTCCATATTAATATATTAGAACTTATAATATATTAATATAAATCATAAATATACTATTCTCAAAAGACTATCCATATAAATTGTGTCGGTGAAGTACAACCCAAATGGACCATGCCGGGTCGGGTCAAGTACATACCAAATATAGTTATGGACTTAGACATTAATCCAACAGTCTCCCACTTGGATAAGTCTAAAACTATAATTGAGTATGACTTCAAAACCTAACTGGCAATCGTAGCTCTTAAAGCCGCTGTCGAACTCTGACCTTGTCAATGACTTGTCCATTAGATAAGGGATCATATATTCCTCCATTCTAGATATCATATGGACTGAGACATGGATTATAATCATTCTCTCTGTCCATTTGTTGTTTCCCGATTTTCGATTTATGATGACTGACTGATTGAAAAAATCAAATCATTCGTGGCTTGGCCAAGCACTCACATGTGTCATCGCTAAATCATCGAGGGGCCCTCAGATATTGCTTTTATCCCGAAGGTAAAAGGAATGGATAAACTTCGACTCATATGGCTTCTTTTACTACTTGTTGAATCATACACAAAGGCACGTTTTATAACATCGAGTTACCAAATGCGTTTTCGTGCAATCAATGTATAACCAACTCATAGTAACAACTCATATCTCTAGGTTTGAAGAATATAATATATTATCGTCTCATGATCACTCGTGATAAAATCCATGAAGTGATTCAAATGAGCGCGGGTTGAATCCAATACTCAGAACTTATGAGCACTCATGAGTGTTGTAGCACAACTTTGTCCACCAACTTGGACCTCTATAAACCAACCCATGACAGTCTTGATTCATATCTACTTCCATCATTTGACCGAATGTGGATGGTTTGAATAACTTAATCATTTAGGAAGAGCGACTTAGTTATTCTGGAAGTCAAAACATGCAAAGTGAAACACAAGAATAAATGAATCAAATATGGTATCAAGCCCTATGAATATAAGTAAACACTTTTATTTATCACCATACTGATTACTCATTATTCATTGTTTCGGTTTTCTCAACTTTATACTTGAATTAAAAACACTAGTTGTCCCATGCTCCAAGCATGTACACTATGTTTTTCTTAAACAATAGCTTTGCCATACACCAAGTATGCACTTTATGTTTGTTTATGATCCTTACTTTGTGATATAAACCAATTGAACATAATTTCAATGATTCTAATTTCACACTCCCAAATCCTTATCGAAAAATGTGAGAATTTCAAATTCCTATCAATTTTCGAAATCTGTTTAGATTTTAAACTTATATGCACTGACCCTCCTGTAATGAATATGTACAAAGTCACAAAGACTTGTCAACAGTCATTATAAGGTATTCCAATAGAGATCAACTGCATGGAAACTAAGTCTCATATTCAAAGTACATTGCTTTGGACATGCTTCTTGCATTAATTTTTCTAATCTTACACAGATAACTTCCAAGTATGGAGACAACTCCATATTCTCATTTTGACTATCACTTCTGAATAAGAGATGCCTCTTTTTAGAATATGTCAATATGGTCCTTCCAAAATTAGCACTATACTTCCAACTCTCCCTGAGCACCCAATCTTTGGTAAACCTCAGATTGTCCTCGACAATTGCTTAATCATTTTAGTCATATCCAATTCTAGACCTTTTCCCTTCTTAATGCCTCTAGGCATTTGGAAAAATTTAGAAATGACAAATATTATAGCACATGCAATCGATCCTGTACCCAAAGCAAATGGTACACGATTCATGATGTCACACATAAAGACATGATTCTAGACCAGTCTTTCGCTACAATATTTTTATTTGCCATCTTTTCAAAATTTGACTATGAAGAGGGATGCCGTAATCATAATCGAATTTTGAGAACGCAATATATAGAATTTCCTTAAGTTGAACCAATCCAACATGAAATTCATATATATATTCTTGACTAAAGATGATTAAGGTCTCAATCTAAGCCTTTAGAACTGAAATGAAGTATATCGTCTCCCTTAATTATAGCAAAACAACTTTTTCAATCCCTGCAGCCTCACGAATTGAAACTTTTGTTTTCTATAATTAACATTGCTACCTTGCAACACTAACAATAATTATCATGCTCCCACTAACATGATGATTATTAGCATAACACTTATGCTCCCACTAGCATTGACATGTACTCAGAAATCAGCTGGACTTCTAGAAATCAATACTTTATTGACTTTCTTACCAAAGTTCAGATTTCTGATACGAGATGCTTTGATAAAACTTTATCAAAATCATACACCTTTCCTTAGATAGCATGTATGTGTGTCTAAACAATTTCAGAACTATGAAAAGGGATGTCGTAATCATAGTCTCAATTGTTTAGACCTTTTGCCATCTGCTTCAAGTCTACTTGGTGGAAGTGTTTCCTCACCATCATTTTCATGAATCGTAGAGAAACCTTATGACCCTTAGATTTTATGGTGTATGTGTTCTTATCCATGTGAATCGTCAAAACCATAGTCACAAGACAAGGATAATGACAAATCCAAACTCATATGGACTGAACTTATGCAATCTTAACTTCTTGCCACCTGGCAGTACAGGGCCTGCCATTGCTTCCAAGTTGTTATGCAACCAATTGAGAACTTTCAGAACTCCTATGCAAAGCCAACTTTAACTGGAATGGGCACAGAATATGTCAACACGATAGGTTATAAACTTCAAGTCGTGTGCTAGTGAAGAACCTCAGGTTTTATTCTTGATTAGTTCTTGAAATTCTTTTTAGGATCTTTAAGACTCCCACTATCCTCTTGACATATAAGACTATCTTGCCAAATATTCAAGAGATAGTGCAGATTCTTTATCAAGACAAACACTTCACACAATTGGCCTTAGTTGGTCTTTGTTTTATCCAAAACATCACAACTTACCAATTTCAAATGTACAAGAGTAGGACACTTTTACTCTTACATTTGACAAGTGTTTTAAACCTTTCTTTAAGATATGTCACTCAAGTTACAATCTTGGAGTATGACTCTAAGAATTGTTTTAGAACGAAGTACGACTCATCTTCCTGATCTAACCATTTCAACAATTCATGACTCCTCTTCTTAGTCATAAGAATGCACTAAGATGACCTTTAGAGGACTAATTGTGATATGATTTCTAAATCATTAAGATGATCACAAACATGATACTAAAGTACTCTCCCATCTTTTCAGATTTGAGAAACTTTTATCTTTCTGCCTAATTTGATTCTTCCCATTCGTTCTGCCATACATTGAGACTTTTCCAATGTTTCACAATTATACTTAAACTTGTAAGTATAACCATATTTACTAAATTTTAGTAAATCAAATAGTCTTAACGAGCTTTGTGGTGGAGATGACCAGTGTACAAGAATCTGTACTCGATCCCTTTAGTCCTTCACTTGGCTCACACATCCATGTGAACTAGTAATTAGTCTTGATTTTCCATTGCTTTGAAAGTTCTCATTCATCATACTATTCAACTTGCATGATTCTAAGTTTCGGTCCAATTGAAACTTGGGCGATAAGGAACTTTCCTGATTTGGTAAATTTAGACACTACCACAAATGAAAGAATCAAATCCATTTTCCAATATTGCTGTCAGTGGAATCATATAAGCAACAATTTTCCAGAAATGTCATTGTAAGGATACTTCAAATAAATAAAATCAAAAATTTCCTTTTATTTTAAAAACTTTGCGGAAAAACTTATCCTTACAATCCATATGAAAACCTTGTTGTTATATATTCCTAAGCAATGTGTCATAACTCCTAAGTAACAACTTCAAAATTCTGATGCGATCGAAGTCCATCTTCGCGATCAGAAGCAGCATATACTTCCTTTAAGCTTTCTCTCTTTTCTTTGATTCTTATAACATCACCATGTGACTCAGTCACATTATGTAATAAGAATCTCCAAATAGGAGCTTAACAGAGTTAGACAATGGACTTTACTTGAAGTAGAGTCAAACTTATTGACTTTAACATCCTTAGGTAAATTTGGCAGGTTCGCAAACAGTGCCCCTTCCTTTGGCAATTTTAACAAATGGA